GAGATGATGAGGGAGGCACAAGATAGGACAAGGTTCAGATCTGTTGTTCATAGGGTTGCTAGGAGTTGTACTTAAGTCAATGGCACCTAACAATACAAGCTGTATGACAAATGAAACATATTCTCATTTAATATGAACCTAAAACAAGAGGTTATTAAGTTTAAAAAATCCCAATAAGACTGAACACGCACACACATACGCGCGCGCGCGCATGTTGCTGTTTGGTGTTACCAAGTTTGCTATGACTCACAGTGACCCTTAAAAACAACAGCTCTGATCTTGCTCTACTGTGTGCCATCCTCACCATTCCTGACATGCCTGAGCCCACTGTTACAGTCACTTGCTGATCTGATCCTGCCCTATCCTATGCCTTCCTTACCATCCCTGAGATGCTTGAGCCCACTGTTACAGGGACTGCCCATCCATCTTGCTGAGGGTCTTCCTCTCTCTCTCTGACCCTCCATTCTTCCCAGTATGATTCAGATACGTAATTCCAATGAAAAGCCATTATAGGCATTTTTTTACCGGCTAGTTCTCAATTTTCTTTCATTAAAACCATAGTTCTTTATCATAATTTTTAAGCTGTTGTTGTTGTTGTTATGTGCCCTCGAGTTGCCTGCGACTCATAGCGACACTATGTACAAGAGCCCTAAACTCCACTCTGTCCTGTGCCAATCGCACTGTCTCTGACACTCCCATCCCAATTATCCAAGTCACTGAATCAATCCACCTCATAGAGGGCCTTCCTCTCCTGTGCCATCCCTCCACTCTCCCAAGCATGATGTCCCTCTCTAAGGACCGGTCTCTCCTCACTACATGTCCAAAGTAAGTTAGACGGAGCCTCAGAATCCTTGCCTCCAAGGAGCCACCCGGTTTAACCCTCTCCAGGACAAATCTATTTGTTTTCCTAGCAGTCCATGGTATTCTCAATACTCTTCTCCAGCACCACAGCTCAAAGGCATCAATTCTCCTTCTATCCTCCTTGGTCACTGTCCAACTCTCTGATGCATAACAGGTGATAGCGAAGACCATGGCCTGTATCAGACGCACCTTAGTCTCCAGAGAGACACCACTGCTCTTCAGCATCTTGGAGAGGTCCCTAACAGCAGACTTTCCCATGGCAATGTGCCTTTTAATTTCCTGGCTGCTGGTGCCAAGACTGTTGACTATGGAGCCAAGCAAACTAAAGCTGTGTACAATCTCAATCTCTTCACCATCCATCCTGATGCTGCCAATTGGTCCAGTGGTGAGAATCTTTGTCTTCTTGACATTGAGCCTCAGTCCATACTGAAGGCTGCAGTCCTTGACCCTTCGCAGCAAGTGCATGAGGTCCTTCTCAGTTTCAGCAAGCATGGTTGTGTCATCTGCATAACGCAGCTTGTTAAGCTACTTTACCATATCAAAGGAAGTATATGTATCCAAAGGAAATGGCCCCTTTAGTTTTATTTCTCATGATTAAACCTGAAAAGCATTTTCAGATTAAATGTTTCAGATTACTGAGATAATACTCCCAAGAGCCACCTGTTTCAGAAGTTTGGATTAAATGCAGAATCCTTATCACCTGTGAATCTGTCATGAACAGAAGATAGTCTGGGACTTGACATAACCTTTCTTGCTGAAACTGAGGAGGACCTGAAGATCTGCTGCAGAAAGTCAAGAACAACAGTCTTCAACATGGACTAAAGCTCAACATCAAGAAGACAAAGATTCTCACCACTGAGCCAATTGGCAGTACCATGATAGAGCAGAGTCTGAGATTGTTAACAATTTCAGCTTGCTTGGGTACACAATTAACACTCTTGGAACCAGCAGTCAAGAAATCAGCAGATTAATTGGATTAGGAAAGTTTGTTGTCAGGAACCTCTCCAGAGTGCTGAAATCAAGATGTCAGTCTAGAGACTAATGCATGACTGAGCCAGGCCATGGTCTCTGTAATTACTTGCAATGCATCAGAGACCTGGACAATGAATACGGATGACAGAAGAAGAACCGATGCCTTTGAGTTGCATTGCTGGAGAAAAAAGGAGTACTGACTATACCATACCATGGACTATCAAGAGAACAAAGAAGTCTGTCTTGGAGAGAGTGAAACCAACTTGTTCCCTGGATGCAAGGGTTTTGAAGCTCTGTCTCACATACTTTGGGCATACTGCCTGAATGGACCAGTCCTGGAGAAGAATTGCTTGGAAAGGTGGAAGGACAACACAAGAGAGGAAGACCTTGGCTGAAATCGATTGACACTGTGATTACAGTAATAGAGGTTGAGATTGGCTTAGGATATGACAGGGTCCAGGACTAATTGTACACAATGTCACAATGAGTTGTAGGTGAGTGACTTGATTGCACATAGCAAGAACAATTTTTTGAAAACCTACTGTAGTGAAATTGGGTCCCGCTCATATTGAACCTAAAGAACAGAGTAAAACTGCCCCATAGGGCATCCATGACTGTACTCTCTGGTTGCCTAGTTCAGAAGTAGTCACACTACCAGTCCACCCAAAGGCAGGTGGTTCAAATCCACCGACCTGCTTAATGGGAGAAGCATAAATCCTGGGTGATTTATAGCTTCTGAAAACTTGCTGGAGGGTCAGTTCTGAGTTGGTTCTGACATGACAGCACAAAGCAACAACAATCTTTGTGAAGCAGAACGCTACATTTTTCTGCTGCTAAGGAGCAGGTGGATTTGAACTGCCTCTTTTCTGTTACTTAGGTCCTATATGACTAATTAGTACATCTTAATTCACATTTCTTATTGTATGCTCAGAATAACTTCTCCTAAATTAGAACTACATATGAAATGTTTTAAGGTACCCTGGTGGTGCAGTGTTAGACTGTCAACTGAAAGACCAGCTGCTTGAACCCACCAGATGCTTTGAAAGAAAAAGATGTGGTAGCCTACTCCTATAAACTATTAGTCGTGGAAATAATAAGGAGCAGTTGTACTCTCTCCTACAAGGTCACCTGAAGCAGAGTCAAATTTATGGTAAGAAGTTTGTTTTGTTGGTGGTGGTCGTGAGAAGATGCTTCACAATGACTTTGAGGTAAGCATAACAGGACACATTCAGACACATACTGTATAGGTGCTTACATCTGAAGTTGGATGGGCTGTCATTCCTGGTCTCAATTTGGGCTTTGTAGTTTCAGGTGACTTCTCCAATATGCAGAACCTTACACTGCACTGGAGAACACCCAGATCCATAAGACTGCAATGTGTGGTGGGCACTGTTTGCCTATACCCCGTCCTTGGCTTCTGGGTTATTGTTTACCTACCTCCCAGTGACTAACAGTTTTGTAAAACAGTTCAGGCACTGGGCCAGCTGCCTGGTGCCTGGCAGCATCTTCAAGTCAGTTTGCTACTCCTGACACCTCCTTTTCAGATACTTTAGAGATCAGAAATTCTAGTTGCAGTCAAATGTACTTAAGAACCAAAATCACATTGCAGCATGCAAATGAAAGCTTTTTAAAAAACAGTAATTCTCTATCATTCTAGCACAAAGCCTGTTAGCCCACATATTTTCTTTCAAAGAGGGGATCCTGAGAATGAAAAATGTCTGAAAGTCACTGTGTTAGGTAATAACATATTTGAAATAACAATTCTGACTGGCATACATATACATTCATACAAATAGGGGCTTCTGGCATAATTGAAACAAAAATATTTCAAAAAAATTAAGAGTATTTTTTCCTTTGAAGTATACTTCATCAAATAATTAAGTAACTTTTATGAGACATATATCTACCACACCAGAAAATTAACTACTTGCTGCAGGGTCAATACTGGCATTCAAGTGATTAGGAGTATGGCTCTAAATAATGAAAATCGGAATAAAAGAACATTTTAATATTATATAGTAAGCATTTAAAAGGGGTCCAAGTTATAATTTTTTTCTAAGTTATAATTTTATCATGCAAATCTTCTCCATTGATGCAAATATTCTCATTTACTCATGTATAGCATGAGTAAATTGAGCTCTTACCCTTTTATTATTCCTTTGGAGGCAATTACATAACATCAGGACTTTTAAAAATTAATTTAATTTATACTCTTGTTATCTGAGAAAATTATTTTTAAGTTGAAAAACACATTTTAAATATATTTAAAATAGAAAGAATATAATATTTTCTCTGTAACTACTGAAGTATTGACAACTGCACTGCAAAACACAATAAAACTATTTTTAAAGCAACACCTTAAAATGGAAACCTAGATGTTGTTGTTATGTGCTGCTGAGTTGCCTGCAACTCACAGCGACCCAATGTACAACAGCCTGAACCCTGCTCTACCCTGAGCCAACCTTATTGTCTCTGACACACTTTCCCCCATTAACCCAGTCATTGAGTTAATCCGCCTCATTCAGGATCTTCCTCTCTTCTGCTGTCCCTCCACCCTTCCAAGCATGTTGTCTCTCTCCAAGGACTGGTCACTCTTTGCAACATTCCAAAACTATGTCAGATGACACTTCAGAATCCTTGTCTCTAAGGAGCACCCTTTTTTTACCCTCTCCAGGATGAGCCTGTTTGTTCTCCTAGCAGTTCATGTATATTCAATACTCTTCTTTAAAGTATACTATGTTTTTTATAATGTCCTAGAATGTAGTAACACTTCTGAGGAGATGGATATGCCATATTTTTAAAATGTTTATATCTCTTTAGTATTTTCTGCTTTTCATATAATATTTAAGATGATTGATTTTCTATAAAAGAGATTGAAAATAAAAAAATACATGAGAAAAAGTCTTAATTTTTAAAGATACATTGTCTTCCTGATTATCAATCTCACTAATATACTGCAAAAAGCATTACTTAGAATCTTACCACTTTTATTAACTTAATAAGTGAAAATACTTTGGAATGGAAGTAGTATTTCTCTTAAACATTTTGAGACCTCGATTTCAAAGGTTAGTGATTAATTAGTATTAGCACTGATCCTCAGTAAGCATCTTCATTACAAAGTTTTGATTCCTCACTATTTCAAGTTCTTCAAATAATAATTTACTTACCTGGGAGTATTCAAAGTCAGTGATGGGGGCTATGCTCTTGATGTAATCTGATCGGAACTGGTTCTCGGGGTTGGCCAGTGGAACAGGAGGTATTATAGTACTCATTGCTGACACAATTGTCTAAAATGCAAAAAAGAGAAAATAGGAATTTAGATAAATATAACATTTAGGGTCTTTGTATGTAAATATGGAGTCCTGGTGGTGTAGTGGTTAAAGAGCTCAGTTGCTTCACACAAGTTCAGCAGTTTGAACCCACCAGCTGCTCCCTGAGAAGAAGTCAGGGCAGACCACCCATTTCAGTAAAGATTTACAGCCTAAAAGCCCCATGGGGAAATTCTACTCTATCGTATAGAGTCACTATGAGTTGGAATAAACTTGATCACAGCAGCTCTGGCTTTTGTTTTGCTATTATTTCTTTTTAAATTTCATTTTATACTGGTTTACACACAATGTTAATAAAGTTCATATACACTGTTTGATGAATGCTAATCTAAAACAAGTTAAGAAAGCAAAAATCCTCCCCACTGGGCCAACAGGCAACCTTAAGATAGATGGAGAAAAGACTGACGTTGTCAATAATTTCTTCTTACTTTGATCCAGAAACAACATCCAATGGCAGCAGCAGTCAAGAAATCACAAGGTGTGTTGCATTGGGGGAAATCTACTGGCAAAGACCTCTCCAAAGTGCTAAAAAGCAACAATGTCAGTTTAAAGAATAAAGTGTGCCTGATCCAAGTCATGTTCTCTTCTACACTTCCTATTCATCTCAAAGTTGGACAATGAATAATGAGGAGAGTATGGACTATCCTATTGATTGCCAAAAGAAACAAACAAATCTGTCTTGGAGGAAGTGCAACCAGAGTGCTCCTTAAAAGCAAGGATGGTAAAACTCTGTCTCACATATTTGGGGCATGTTGTCTGGATATTATAACCTTGAAAAAAGACATCATATGGAGAAAGGTAGAGGGTCAAAGAAACATAGAAAGACTCCCAGCAAAATGGATTGACACAGTAATTGTAACAATGGCATCAAGCATATCAGACATGATGAGGATGGCTCAGGACAGGGCAAAGCTTAGATAATAGGGTTGCTATGAGTTGTACTGGACTTGTTGTTTGTTGTTGTTTAATGCCTTCGAGTCGTAGATGACTCATAGCGACCCTATGAACGAACAGCCTGAGCACTGTTCGTACATAGAGTTTCCAGAGGCAAGCCATTTTGGAAGTGGATGCCGCTCCTGCTTCCAGGCTTGATTTAGTCGGGAAGCTCCAGCCAACACTGTCCACCATGGGTGCCCATTACCACAACTGGCACATCACTGTCACAGGCTTCAGCATCACAGCAACCACGAGTTACCTCTGTACAGCAACGCACAGACCAGTGCTATACCACCTAGAAGAATGTTTGTCAGGAAGACAATTTGAACCTGGCCCAACAATCTAACTGTATTTAGATTGTATTTAGATTGTTTGTATGTCATTTCTTTGACCTGAGACACAGAGATTTGTACACCTATGTTCATAAAAGTGACTGGGGTCATGGGGGTAGGTGTGTCAGAGATAGTGAGATTGGCACAGGGTAGAGCACAGAGCAGGGTTTAGAGCTGTTGTACATAGGATTGCTATGAGGTGCAGGGGATTCGATGGCACATAACAACAACAATATGTTCACAGCAGCATTATTCACAATAGCAAAAAAATGGAAATAGCCCCAAACAAATGGACTGAGAAATTATGATACACAATGGAATACTATGCAGACTAAGAAGCAAAAATTGCATAAAATAACATGGGATTGTCTAGAGAGAATTATGCTGAGTAAAATAACTCAGTCTCATAAGGACAAATACAGCCCAAGACCATATTTTAAAATAGAAGGATAACCAGTAGGATGTGTATAAAAGTTCAAAGGGAGAAAGAAGGGACTGGGAGATGGAGGGTGCGAAGAGGGGAAGTCACTGGGATGGCAGAGTTAGCGGGTAGAGGGAGGGGATGAAGGAATTAGGAAAGATCTTTTCAGGACCGTAGGCAAAGATCAATGGTGATTAATTTTATAAAACACAATGCATAAGAATGAATGTATGAAATACAATGTGAATGTAGGAATGTGTGAAACATAATGTTCATAAATGAAACACGGTGTACATGAATTTTGTATGCAAACCAATATAAAATTAAAAAAAAGAAAACAAAAACCAGAAAACAATGACCAAATCTGTAGTTTTTTAGAGTATAATTACTTAACTTTTGTAACAAACAAACATTGGACAAAACAATGTTCTTACCACAATAGCATCTTTAACATTTTTCCGGATGTCCAGGATTTTCTGTTTCTTTTCCCTGTATTAAAAGAGAATTGTAGTTAACTTACTTTCAGCATAAACTTGAAATCAGTTGATTTTTTTTTTTATGTCCAGTTGCAGAAGTGGACACCAGCTTCACTGGACAACAATGCCAGTCCTGCCTCCCTCATCTGCAGTTTTTATCCAGGTGACGAAACACTGCCTTTCCTAACCTGTTGTTAATTCCTTCTAAAGAATATTCTCACACTTAATTTTGAGCATAGCTCAAACATAATCTATATCTTTAAACAAGCACCCGGTTTATATCAATGTGGTGCAATTGTTTTTGTTATGTGCAGTCGTGAGTCGCCTGTGACTCATACTGACCCTATGTACAATAGCTCTAAAGGCTGCCCTGTCCTGAGCCTGTCTCCAAATTTGAGGACTTAGCCTCAGTTGCCATATCTGATATTATACTCTATATGTACTTAATTATATATAAGGTTTTCAAAGGCCTGTTATAATTTGGAAATGGATGGTCAATAGGACTATTATACATAAAAACAAATAATAGTTATACTTGCAAATATATTTTATATTTAGCTTTCCATGTTTCTAGGAGCTCTGGTGGCCTAGTAGATAAGGACTTGGCTGCCAAATCTAAGGCAGTGGTTAGAACCCACCAGCTATGCTTTGGGAGAAAGATGGGAAATCTCCTCAAGGAATTTGCAGCTGCTGAAAATCCACTGGAGGGTCAGCTATGAATCAGTTATGACTCTACAGTACTTAATAGGAACAATGTATACTGCCAGTTTTGGACAGAAACAAATAAAAAAACAAAAGACAGTATAAGAAAAGGCATATGTTGAGATATTAGGGAACTGTGCTCATACAGAATATCCCATGGACTGCCAAAAGAACAAACAAATATTTTGTGGACAATGTGTGACCAGAGTGTTCCTTGGAGGCTATGATGGCCAACCTTGGCTTCATACTTTAGAGATGTTGCTAGGAGAGGCTATTCCTTGGAAGGGGACATGGTTCTTGGAAAGGTGGAGGGTCAGAAAAAGAGAGAAAGACCCTTAACCGAGATGGATTTACACAGTGACTGCAGCAATGGTTTCAAGTTTGTGAGATGATAAGGTCAGCACCGGTTAGGACAGGGTTCCGCTTTATAGAGTCGTTACAAGTCATACTCAATTTGATAGCATTTAACCTAGTGTATCTCATTCACCGGGTTTTACCAAACAAGTGAGCGTGGGAGTTTTTTTTTTGGAGAGACCTAAACATTACCAGTAAAGCATCCAATGGTATAAAATTAAACCGCAATTAAAAGGGGAAACTCCTTTGGAAATGTGTGAAAGAGTCACAAAGTTTCCTGCAGTTTGGAAGCAAAACCAAGGAAACCTTACTCACTCTGGATTAAATCCATTAACATGTAGAATCCTCATTTGTTTGACGATGGTGCTTTTCCCAGACTCACCAGCCCCTGGAATAAAACAGAAAGCAGGCTGTATTCTGTCTCCACGCCATCGCCATCTCTCACTGCTACCCCAGGTGGAGGAGTTGTGTCACCTTGTGCACACATGGTCCAAGACAACAGTAGGTTTGGAGAACTTGCCGGCCACACTGCTGGGGCCGAGTGTCCCTCCCGGCCAGTTTGGTCCCCGCAGCACCCTGGGGACACCACGCTCGGGCCCTGGGCTGCCTTACCCAGCAGCAGCAGCCGGTGGGTTGCTTTATAAGCGAGTCGCTCTTTCTGCAGCTGCTTCTCAATCTTTTTGTTGGCCTCCCGCCGTTCCTTTTCATCAACACCTTGGTCTTCGCCCGCCGTCTTGCTGTTGCCCAGACACCCCATGTTTGCCCGCTCGTTCAGACGTCAGGCAGAGTTAGGAATCTGTACCAAGTGCAACAGACCCGCGGAGATCTGTGGTCCCTGTCCCTGCGGCGGCTCCTCTCTCTGCGCTGCAGAAAGAGACACTCAAGGCTTGATGCGCCTACGGGGCCGTCCCTCCCGCCCCACTCCCAGTCGCAAATTCCCGAGGGCAGGGGGAAAAAAGACCCTGGGAGAAGGCTGCGGAAAGATGGATTTTGAGAAATCTGCTGGACCTCTACAGGCAGGGTGCAGCGAGAGAAACACGAGGGAGTGCGCAAGGGTGCGGAGCTGGCTCCTGAGGGGCGCGCGATGGGCGCAGGGCAACAGCTCCCCCAACCTGAGCCTGCCCCGTGCGCCCACCCTGCACGTCCACCCCTCGCCCACCCCCTCCTCACCGATGGGGCGCCTGGTGCACCCACGGGGCGGGCGCTGGCACTGACCGGGTGCTGTGGCGCACGCTGCGGTCCCGTCGCTGCCTCGGCTGGTGCCTCAAGGCCGCCTGGCATCGGCAGGTGAGGGCGCGCGCGGGTCATACATATTCTATGAGGGAGGAGGATCTGGAAGAGATTCGCCAGTCACTCCCGCCTTTGTTCTGGCAATTTTCTCTACGATTCCTGCGCGCCCACGCTGCCTCCTCCCCAAGTCTCTTGTCTTCACCTCCAGCCCCCACTTTCCCTTTCCCGTTCTCTGAAGAGCACCACTTCTTTTTAGAAACCACTGTGGCCTTGACCGTGACATTTTGGTGGATAGTTACACCAGCATGAGGTTGGCATGTTTCTAGACGTAACTGCTGGCCAGCGTCTTGTCCCACGAAGTCCAACACCAGGCCTTGACCAACCCACTGCAGTGGTCGCCGGGGCCAGGCACTCTGCTTTTCCTCTGAAGGACTTGAGGGGGAAAGACTAAAGAGGATGGGGCTAATTTTATGGTCGCGAAGTAGCAGAGGGCGGTGTCCTCCATGTGAAGTGTGCATGCACACATTTATTGGTTCCTGTGCTTTGCTGGCCTTTGGCACGGGCCCCTTCGTACTGCCCCTGATTCTGTGCAAACCTGCCACCAGCATTGTCTCCCTGCCAGTCCCTACTCTTTTCCTGAGTGGGCGTGTGGCCCAGCATCCTTCCGAGAAGTACACAGCCCAAGGTACTTCCCTCCAACACCTCCCTGGGGTCCATCTTCCTCTCCCCCAACTGAGCTAAGGGAGAAGTCCCTGTCTGCTCTGGTCTGCTTCATTCCTCTTTTAGTGAGCTCCCTCTCCATCCTTGCTGCCTTCTTTTCTTTTTTTTTTAAGTTTATAACATTTTTTATTATTGTTTGTGTGTGTACCACCAAATCAGATCTGACTGGTACAGGAGGAGATTGCCTCTCCTTCTCCAACAGAGCATTTGGTGGATTCGAACTGCGTGCCTCTGGGACTGCAGTGCAGCTTCTTGCCACTAGGCCACCAGCGCTCCCTGCTGCCTTATTTTTTCTTATCAAACAGATGTGGTCAGTGGTGGCCCATCTTGGGTGTTCCTGACCCTCTGTAGTTCACCTCCAGCAAGCACCTGGCTTGCACAGTGGACAATGTGTTCCTGACTGGGGTCCATATGTCAGTGAGGTGAGTTTTACCTGGCCTGGCCTCTGTGGAGACCTGACACCTTGGTGATTACTATTTGTTTGCCCCACAAATGTGACACAAACTCTTTGCTAGTGATCCTCTAGCCCAACAGAGTTCCACATGGTCTCTCTGTGTATGGGTTAATGCTCCATTCCATGTCTGTGGCTCTAACTACATCCACGCATATCTCCAGCCTGGCTCATCCTACCACCTACCCTCCTGTGTGCAGCACGTTCCCTGCCCCCAGGTCTTGCAGGAATTGCAGATCATTGAGCTCCAGGACGATCTCACCTTGCTATTTCCTCACTTTCAATTTGCCTGCTGCCTGTGGTCAGGGCCCTTGATTTCCAAACTTGAATTGTGGAATCACTGTAGACCAATTCTCCCTGAGTAAGCGTGTTGCTGTCTCATCTATTCTACATGTCTGTCCTGTGCTTTCCACTCCATCCACCCCTGCCCAAGTCCACTATTTCTAACCTGCATGCCAGCAGTGGCCTCTCTGACACAGACAGTGTTGCCACAGTGACTACAAATCTGGATATTTCATCCTCTGCCTCTCCTCCCCTCCACTGTTCTTCAAGACTGAGTAAGCTAACCATCTCTGGCTCCCATCCTCCCTCTGACTTCTTTCTACAGTTGTCTGCTACAACTACCAGGAATTCTCTTAATACTGTTGGTCCAGCCTGAGATGCAGATACTACTCCCCTCTCGGGGACACTGTGCCTCCCTGTTCACTTGATTCTCAGCCTTAAGACTGCTCGAGCCCCATGCTGGCTGTTTTCTATGCAGCTGAGGAGGTCCACACCTTCTCTTGACAGAGCCCCAGATGCACCATCATCTCACACAATATCTCATACAGTGTCAAAGCATCACTCAGTTATGGGGTTCTTGAGGCTGGGCTAGGTCTATCTTGCTGACCTGCACATGTGCCTCTTTCAGTACCTGGGACTGAAAAGATGGTTTGCAAAAGTCTACTGAATGGCGTATAAACTCACAAAGCCACGAACACATCCTGCTCAAGGTGTGGCCTCAGGAACAGGATCTCATAACTAAGTTTCAGATTAATAAAATATTTGTCCCGTTTAATGTTACTTTGAAAATACAAATACTTTGTGAAAACAAAAGCAATAAATTATTCTTCTGACATAGTAAGACATGAACACAGGCATATTGTGTTCTATATTAGTTTAAAACTTGTAAATTGTAAATTTGTGGAAGAAGACCATTTAGCACAGTTATTCCTTGTGAATGCATTAACGCATATATTCACATATGGCAATACCTGCCCAGCCTGTACTTTAGCAAATGGAACAATCAGAAGGCAAGAAATCACATACTGAAAAACTCCCAAACAGTGGACTGATATGTTAAAAAAATTTTGTTAACATTTTTATGCCAAGATTTCTATAAATTGTTAGGGGAAAGGAGAGAGGGGAAACAGATTCAAGAAATTTCATAAAATGGAGAATTTAGTTAGATCTGAGGAGCTACACTTATTCATAATAGAAATATAGAAAAATATTTCCACTTGTCAAAATCTTGCTATTAGAGTTAAAGGATTTTTAAAAATATTTTCAATTTAAGAGAGATTAGATAAACATATAAAAACATACCCTACTACATCCTATACATTAATATGATAATATTATTATAAACACAGGAATGTGAAAGTTTCTAATTTTTTCATTACTGATAATATGTGCTAAATAAATGTTTTACATGGAATAGTTCCTTTAACATATACAAAAGTCCTATTTCATTATTGCCACACCTTTACAGAACCTAGGGGGTGTTGTACATAACAAACTGTGGCTGACTCTCAGAAGAATGGGAATCCCAGAACACTTGATCGTTCTAATGCGAAACCTATACTTGGACCAAGAGGCAGTCGTCAGAACAGAGCAGGGCAACACTGCATGGTTCAAAATTGGGAAAGGTGTACGCCAGGGATGTGTCCTATCTCCATACCTTTTCAACCTGTATGCAGAACAGATTATCCAAGAGGCTGGACTCTATGAGGAGAAATGTGGCATTAGGGTTGGTGGAAGATCTATTAACAATCTGCGTTATGCAGATGACACAACCCTGCTTGCTGAAACTGAGGAGGACCTGAAATGCTTGCTACAGAAGGTCAACGAGTGTAGCCTTCAGTATGGATTGAGGCTCAATGTCAAGAAGACAAAGATTCTCACCAGTGGACCAATTGGCAGCATCAATCAGGATGGATGGAGAAGAGATTGAGATTGTTAACAACTTTAGTCTGCTTGGCTCCATGGTCAACACTCTTGGCACCAGTAGCCAGGAAATAAAAAAAACGTATTGCAATGGGAAAGTCTGTTGTTAGGGACCTCTCCAGGGTACTGAAGAGCAATGGTATCACTCTGGAGACTAAGGTGTATCTGATACAGGCTATGGTCTTTGCAATCACTTGTTATGCATCAGAGAGTTGGACAATGACTAAGGAGGATAGAAGGAGAATTGATGTCTTTGAGCTGTGGTGCTGGAGAAGAGTATTGAATGTACCCTGGACTGCCAAGAAAACAAACAGATTCATCCTGGAGAGGGTTAAACCAGATTGGAGGCAATGATTCTGAGGCTCCGTCTGACATACTTTGGACATGTTGTAAGGAGGGAGAGGTCCTTGTAGAGGGACATCATGCTTGGGAGGGTGGAGGGATGGCACAGGAGGGGAAGACCCTCTATGAGGTGTACTGATTCAGTGACTGGGGTAATCGGGATGCGTGTGTCGGAGGCAGTGCGATTGGCTCAGGATAGAGCAGGGTTTAGGGCTGTTGTACACAGGGTGGCTATGAGTCGCAAGTGACTCGACGGCACATAACAACAACAACAACAACGAGTATTGTGTCTGGCCCCTGGCAGTGTGGCTCCAATATCTGCAACTACAGTGTGACCTGCCTGAAAATACAACAGTACTTTCCTTATATGTTTGCAATTTAAGTAAATTAATGAAAAATTAACTAATGGAGGACAGGTATTTGGCTTATTATCGGGTGAGACCATAATAAGATTTTAAAAAACCCAATCATTTGACTTTTTCTACTCTGGCCTTTGAAACAATCTTCACTTGTACCATGAAGCACTGAAAGGAAATACAGAATCCTAGCAGGTTCCTGAGAAGTAGTGGACTCAGCGTTGTCAAGTACTAAGGAACAGCCAGTAATGGTAGGTGCAAGCATCTGTTGCTAGGCAACCAAAAGCAGCATTTTGGCCTACAAAGGCACACTCTCCACCACAGATGGGGCAGCCCAGGGAACCCAAAGCCAGCATCAGGAAGAGCAAGGTCAAGTAGGCAGAGTGCCTATGAGCAGAGGTAAAGAGGCCTTGTCACCACAGGAGAAAGTTGGAAAGCACAAACTTAGAGCAAAGGACACATGAAACAAAGCAATTTTTTCTCACTTATGTTGATGTTTTAAGGAGTCCTGGAGCAGGTTGCATTGCTAACCACAAACCATTCTAAGTCTCCTTTAGTTTAAATCCATTAGCA